AAACTCACTGGGGTTTCGGCCCGTCCCGCCGGCCACCCGAAGAGACCCAAAATTGCACATGTCAATACATGTCATGCCCAAGATGGCCCCACACGGACTCCAAGATGCCTCCAAGACGAGCAAGATGGCCCAAGAGGGCTTCCGAGTCCACCTAAGATGGTCGAAGATGGCTTCCAAGACGGTCCAAGAGGGTCCAAGATGCCTCCAAGACGGCCCAAGAGGCCTCCAAACTTGCCCTAAGACTGCCCAAGCGAGCCCCAAGAGCCCTCCAAGAGCTCCACCAGGAAGATCCGAAAGGACGAAAGTCATGGATTATCCATCGGTTATTGAAGGATGTTGGCATGTTCGTCTTTTCAGCTCTCCGACGGCCGAAGACGGCCCAAGCGGCCTCCAACATCGCCCCAAGAGCGCACAAGAGGCCTCCAAGATGGCCCCATGACAGCCCAAGAGACCCCCGAGAGGGCCCCAACACGACCCCAAGACGGCCCAAAAGGCCCCAAAGATGGCATCCAACACGGACAAGATGGCCTCCAAGGTGCCTCCAAGAAGGCCAGGCCTCCAAGACGGCCCAAGAGCCCTCCAAGACGTCCTCCAGGAAACCCGAAAGCTCGGAAACCACCTGGTCCGATAGCTCGCCCGACTCCGTGTTCCCCGAAAACTTTCGGAACCCACTCGGGGAGCGCGTGACCCGGTAGCTTAGCCACGCTCAAAATCAACTTTCGGCCACGCAAGCGCTTCCAAGAAGGCAGGGGCCGGCAGTGATTCGCCGCAGGCGTCTTCGATAACGCCAAACTCTCAATATGCGCTGATGATTCCTATCCGCTCCCGCATGATGTTCCCAGTTGCCCCAAGGCGGCGCCGAGACGCACCGACGCGACTCTGATATATCCCTTTCTGATAGGGAGGGACCGAGCGGCACGGGGCGAAGTCTTTGCGGATGATTATTGTTGATCCTCCTGATAACCGTTGTACGTGTTCAATTGAAGTGCCCCCCCTCGGGGCTCGCACCCTGTTTCTATGAAGGAAGCCTGGTGTCACCAACATGAGCTGTTGGGCCCCGAACTACAACACTACAACAACGATGGCTCCCGACGGATACTTCCTCACAATGTATTCTAAAATCGCGCTCTCGCGCTGGACTTCCTCAATCAATATAGAGGAATCGCGCTCTCGCGTGGGACGTCATCGCAATTGATTCAGACGCCGCGCCCCCGATACCCAGGAATCACACTCTCGCTCTGGCCTTTCCGACATGTTATTTGGGAATCGCGCTATCGCTCGAGCTCTCCTCGCGACTCATGCAAGACGCACGCTTCAACAACACGCCTCTCGACCTGGCCGCTTGGGCCCGCGTTCTCGACCCGCCCGTTAAGGTCTCCGTGCCCGATGGGCCACGTGTTCTCTGGTCCTAGCCCCTCTCCTGCTCATCCCGTGCTCCATCCTTCTCCCTCCCCCTTCTATCCGTCCTCTCTTCCCCTGCTTCAGGGGCTGCGCCAATCACGTGCGGCAGGTAAGGAAGATACACCTCCAAGGGGGCACGATCGAAGACGAAGAGGGCGGGTACCGAGGGTTCGGGATCGGAGGTTGGGGGGGGAGATCGCAATGGAACGGAGACCCCCAACCGGGAAATCGTTTCGTTTCGTTCGTGTCGTGCGTGCGGGCGAGGCGAAGTTGCGTGGGCGCGCGAGAGGTATGAACCCGCCGTTGCTAGCGCAAAGTCAGGACAAATGATTCTCCTCCGCCCGCCCGTCTGGCGGTGGCTCGCGGTGTCCCGCGGTGTCCCGTGGTGTCCCGTGATGTCCCGTGGTTTCCGCCGCTGCTAGGGCAAAGTCAAGACAAATGATTCTCCCCCGCCCGCCCGTCCGGCGGTGGCTCGCAATGTCCCACGGTGTGTGGTGTCCCGTGGTGTCCGCCGTTGCTAGGGCGAAGTCAAAACAAATGATTCTCCCCCGCTCGCCCGTCCGTCCGTCCGTCCGCCAATGGCTCGCGGTGTCCCGCGGTGCCCCGTGGTATCCCGTTGAGTGAGATAGATCGTGAGATCGATAGTGAGATCGATACGGAGATCGATGGTGAGATCGATAGTGAGACCGAGATGGTGCCCCGAGGTGTCCCGTGGTGTCCCAAAAAGTGAAATCGGTAGATAGTGAGACTGATACTGAGATCGACAGGTGTCCCGTGGCGTCCCGTGGTGTCCCGTTGAGTGGTGAGATCGGTAATGAGATCGATAGTGAGATCGACGTGGTGCCCCGAAGTGTCCCGTGGTGTCCCAAAAAGTGAGATCGATGGTGAGATCGATACTGAGATCGACAAGTGTCCCGTGGTGTCCCGTTGAGTAAAATCGATCGTGAGATCGATACTGAGATCGATGTGGTGTCCCGAGGTGTCCCGTGGTGTCCCGTTGAGTGAGATCGATAATGAGATCGATAATGAGACCGATAATGAGATCGAGAGGTGTCCCACGATGTCCCGTGATGTCCTGTTGAAAAGATCGATAATGAGATCGATAGTGAGATCGACAAGTGTCCCGTGGCGTCCCGTGGTGTCCCGTTGAGTGAGATCGATAGTGAGATCGATTGAGTCAGATGTTGGTTCCCCCCTCTCCCCCCCCAAGAATCTCCTTATCACCCGAAAGGTGGTCGTATAGGTATACGTGTAGAATGGCCAGCGAGCAGGGAAGAAAGAAAAACATACACATGAGTGTTGCTGCTGTCGTTGCTGTTGATGAATTGTCATTCCTCAAGCATTTTGTTTTACTGATTCTTCCTCCAGATAACCACTGTATAGTTTGAAATTTAAGTTCTCCTCCCGGGGACTCGCACTCTGTGTTTTGCAAGGACAAGTGAGGTGTCACTAAACTGTGCCCCCGGCCCCCAGGTTTACGACAACAGCGGCTGCCCTCTGATACTTCCTCAGAATGTATTCCCAAATCGCGCTCTCGCGCGGGAACTCTTCACATGTATCCAGGAATCACGCTCTCGCGTGGGAATCCCTCGCAATTTATTAAGACGCCGCGCCCTCGACACCCAGGAATCACGCGCTCGCTGTGGATTGTCTCATGATTTATTTAGGAATGGCGCTATCGCTCGAGACTTCCTCGCGATTCATGCAAGACGCACGCTTCAGCATCCCACCTGCCATTTGTTCGTTTATTCCATCCGTCCTATCTTCCCCTGCCTTAGGGACTGCACGAAATACACGCTGCAGGTACGAAAGATATACAACTAAGGGGGTACGATCGAAGACGAGGAAAGCGGGTATCGCGGGTTTGGTATCGACGTGTTAAAAGGCACGCGAACAGGTAAGATCGAACACTTTCAAAAATATTGTGGTCGTTGTTGCTGTTGCTTGATTACTTGTTTGTTTGCTGTTGTGATCGTCCCACTCGCGACCTGGACCGCGAACCACCCGCGACCCGCCCGTGACTCACCCGCGACCCACCCGCGACTCACCCGCGACCCATCCGCGACCCACCTGCGACCCACCCGCGACCCACCCGCGACCCACCCGCGGCTCACCCGCGACCCACCCACGACCCACCCGCGACCCACCCGCAACCCACCCAACCATCCGCGACCCACCCGCGATTCACCCGCATCCCACCCACGACCCGACCGCCACCCACCCACGACCCACCTGTGACCGACCGGCGACCCACCCGCGACCCACCCGCGACCCTCCCGCGACCCACCCCGCGAACCACCCGCGACCCGCCCGTGACCCGCCCGTGGTCCACCCCGCGCCCGACCCCTCACTCTTATTCGCAACTGCGGGGTGCTGCAAATATCCGTGTGCATCACCACCAGATACCTGCACCGCTACGAGGAGATTCCTGAACAACCGAGCGCCAGGAAGTCGCGCGGCGCGCACAGTAATCTGCGCTGCAGCCCTGCCTGGTTCTGCATGCAATGGTCGCTGCCAAGACAAAATGTTCTGGCAACTATCCAGGACACCTGTTTGGGTAATTGTTGAGAGCCGACGGGGCGGTGGATGTTCACGAATCTGCGTACTACCCACCACCAGGGTAAAGCCCCCAGACTTGAAGGATGCAGACGACAGTAATCGCCAGTTTCACTATGGTACGATGTCCCAAGCATGGACCCCCTTTCACGTATGTACCTCAGAATACCTACAGGGTATCGGAAGGAATGACGTTTACCGAAGCGGCCCTCGGGGACCAGTTTGTCAGGGAATCCTGCAGGTGTTGCCTGGATTGTCACAGTCCGCGATGCCTCCTGGAAACATTCGGGCTCAAGGAAATCTGCGTATGCGGCGTGCTCTGGAGATCTTGTTGTTTGCCGCAGCTCACTCGGGAAAGATGCACCACGGAATTACAATGTTTGTCGCCGTGCTGCGCCGTGGAACCCCACAAGCAAATCAGATGGATGCATGACAGACGGTAGGGTGCATGGCACTGCATGGCGTGACGCGGATGATGGCTGCTTCGTTAGGCCACCGCGTTCCTGCGTGTGGTTTGCCAGGGCTACCGTTTTGAAACATGAAGGGGGAGATCCTTTCATCGGCGCCCGTAGCTGCGGCAGTGTGGGAAAGGGGCATGTTGTGGAGTATGGCTTCGGGACCTGAGAGCCTGAACTATCATTCCTACCGCCTGCGTGCTGGATTGGACTCCGAGAGCATTATCGGTGACTATGATCTTCGTATCGTGATCAGCTCCATCCGAAGGCAATCCTGCTCCAAACGTTATGTTATTTGCCTTTGTCGGATGTCTTGGTGAAGGTCCACTAGCCCTGTCTGCCCTCGGCTAGGAACGCACGTGATCACGTGTAGCTAACAGGAAGCGCTCCGAGGACGAGTAAGTCGCTGGTATCGTGGGCTAGCGGTCTCCTTCTTCTTCTTCTTATTCTTCTTCGTGTTCTGGTTCGTCTTCGTATCTCCCCCAGCCGCAGCGTGATCTTCTTCTATAGCCCGTGATCAACCCATCGTCCCTCCCCCCGGGTGAACTGTTTCTTCTCCTCCTCCCCTCCCGGCCGCCGCCGCGTGACCTTTCCCTGTAGGCCGTGATCAGCCCATCGTCCCCCCTGGTGAGGGTGCACGTGCCCTTCACCAACCACTTGGGGTGCACGAGCGGGAGGTTCACGGCCAGCGTCTCGTCGAAGCGGAACTGCAGGGCTCTGCCCCCGTCCAGCACCTCGGGGGCGGGGAGGCAGGGGTGGGAAATAAGGGAAGGGCGGGGGGAGGGAGGGCGAGGCATAGTGAGGATGAGGGGATGGGAGCGGGAAGGAGGACGGGGAGCGTGGGAGGGGGAAGAGAAGCATGGACAGGAAGGATGCGGGAGGGGCAGCGGGTAGGGGGAGGAGGGGAGGGAACAGCGAGGTGGAGCTGCCCTCCTCTTCGTCGCCCTCCTCTTCCCCGAGCCTCTCCCCCATCCCCTACCCCCCCCTTGCCGCTCCCCCTCCCGCACTCCTCCCAAAAATTCTCCGCGTTCTCCCCTTGCCGCACCCCTCCCGCCCCTCGTCTTCCGCCTCCTCCCCGCCCTCGTCCTCATCAACTCGTTGTCCTGATCCTCCTGCTCACCCTTACCCCTCCGCTTGCTCCTGATCCTCCTCCGTTTCCTCGTGCTCATGCGCCTGCTGCTCCTCGCCCTCCCGCTCCTCCTCCCCCCAGCTCCCTCTTCTTAGGCGATGGGGATGGGGGAGGGCAGACGAGGAGGAGGAGGAGGAGGAGGAGGATCCCCAGATCAGCGTAGGCGTTTGCAGGAGGGAGGCAGGAGGGAGGAAGAGAATGATGATGATGATGATGAGGAGGAGGAGGAGGACGAGGAGGGAGGAGGGGTGGTGACGGGGGAGGGGGCGGGATGCACGCCAGGCCTCCACGTCACCCACCAAGTTGACGTTGGACTCTTCTGCGACGAACAGCTTCTGCCGGAGAGGGCAAGGGAGTGGGAAGGGGAGGCCGCTGACAGGGGAGGGGGAGGATAAGGGGGAGGAGAGACGAAGGGAGAGGAGGAGCAACTAAATGGATGAGAAGAGGAGTATAACGAAAAGGAGCGTGAGTATCGTGCAGGAGGAGAACAACGATAAGGAAGGCAATCATATATACACGTATGTATATACAGATTCGGACGATGATGAAGGTGAAGAGGAGACGGAGGCAGGACGGAGAGCAGATCGAGCAGGCAAGAGGAACAACACGCCATGACGCTGGAAATGTACGGCTGCAGGCCCGCTGCTCTGCGCTGCGAGCAGGCGTGCGCTCAAAGACATGCGCAGGCAAAGCCAACCTGTGAACGAGAGGCAGCGATTGACTTCCAACTTCGTGTAGCTCTGGCGCGGGACAGCTCAAGCCGCAGGGCGCGACGCGCCAGCTTAGACAAAGACGACGGGGCCCAACGGGTACCGACAGGGCAGCCGCTTCTAGAGCCCGTGCGCACACCGACCGAGAGGGCGACCCCTTGTCTTGTGGAGAAGGAGGGGGGCGCTTTGCAGCGCCAACGAACGGATCCCACACTATATCTTGGTGATCCCTCGCTCGGGGAGACGTGAGACTAGGGTTCGGGGGACTCGGGTTGGCCCGACGGGGCCGTCAAGAAAATGACGAGACCCAATCCGAGATTTGACGCGACCTCCTGCTGCAAACATCCCACGTGAACTAGACCGTCAAAAAGCGTCGGCAAACCCGATTTCCAACGAACTCGAGTCTTACTGCACACTCGGGTGCCGCCGACGGCCCCGAGCACGGCGGCGCTCCGCCCCTCAACCCCGCCTGGTGCTCTCGAACACAACTGGGGCCGAGATGGGCTGGGGGAGCCAGGAGCCCGAGCAACAAGCGAGCGACGAAAAGAAATGGGCCTTGCGCAAGATGACGTAGCGACCTTGCGCGGTGGCTTACGCGGGCCGGAACTGGAGACGAGGGCGCTTAGGCACGACCTTGCGTGGGCAAATTACGCGCCAATGTCGGCGAAGACGAACCCACTTTTCCTTCGTCGCTCAAATGGACATGCAACAATTGGGGGTCCCAAAACGGTGCGGTGACACACCCACCGTGCTGTGACTCGAGATCTCAAGACCCCACCGCAAGGACCGTTACCGCACGGTTTTGAGATCCCGCAGGCCTAAGTCGCCCCAGACATCCCCAGAGAACGACCCAAGTCCCAAAACGGTGCGGCGACCCCGAATCCCCACTGACTCACCAAACGGTGTGCTCACCATACCGCTAGGGCCCCCCCGAGATGGACGAACTCTGGGTTGCTGTTGACAGGCCAGGACCGAGTCAAACGATACGACCGGCACCCGACAGGTGTCAGAAGGCGGAGATGGCGGGGAGAGCAGGCGGAGGACAAGGAGTAGGCGGAGGAGGAAAATGAGCAGGGCCCATACCCCCGACGTCATGTTTTTCCCCACGAGCTGGGCCCCTCAAGATCCCAATGGACAGGCCAGTTTCGCATCCTGATCGCGTTTCGACGGCCCCTGGGGCCCGTTGAGGCCCGCCCAAGCAACCGAAGACAGCAAAACGAACACACACACAATCGTCCGTAATGGTTTTCATATGGCGCCAACAGGGGCCTCGTGAGATGACTGATCATGCAGAATCCGTCAGTATCGAATCGGATAATCGTATCGAATCGGAACGTGCGTCGGATCGGACTGCATCTGCACGGGGTCGAAATCAAATCTGACCGGCTCCACCAGGCTGCGCAACAGCGTCATGCAAGCATCGGGCCGCATCGGACCGCCAGAATATCGAAATCGGGTCGGATCGAGATGGCCAGAATCGCTATCGAAGCTGATCGATCGGAGCGAAGTGGACACTGTAGGGTCTCTTGGGCAAGAGACCCACAATCGAATCGATTCGTTGGACCCGCAATCGAAACGACTCGGGTCGGCAGAAATCGGCAGCCAAGTCGGGAGGAGTTGATGGAGCGGAAATCGGCAGGCTAGTAAGGCCTGAATTGAGAAGCAAAGATCCAAATCGGAATCTGCAATCGAATTGAGTCGGGATCGGAATCGATCGACATCGAATCAAATCGAATCTGCGGAGTCGACACGAGCCCTGCCTGCCTGGGTCCCCTGGACGAACTTGTCTATCGGGTAGGCGTCGATCTCGTCCGTGAAGATGCAGGACCTCGGCGGGAAGCCCGCCGCCCTGCCGCGGGGGCAGCCCCGCCGCGGGCCGCCCCGCCGCCAGTCGCAGCGCCCCCCGCCATCCCCCCCCCCCCCTGCCCGGGGCCGTCCTCTCCCCTCTCCCCCATCTCCGTCTTCGCCTCCCCCCTGTCCTCTCCTCACCTCCCTCCTCTGGCCCTCCCATCCCCTGCATCTTCACCCCCCGCACCCCCCGCGCCTCAGTCTTCTCCTCCCTCCGTCCTCTGCCCCTTCCCCTCCCCCCCCCGTGCGGAGGAGGTGAAGAGGCATGAGGAGGCAGGAGGAGGCGCAACCGAAGGCTCGCACACTACGCCTCCGAGAGCGGCCACGGGCGCGACACTGGCGCAGTGCCACGGCGAGAGCTTCGGAGAGGGAGCAGAAGGACGGAGATGGAGCAAGAGGATGGGGAAGCACAGGAAGGTAGGTGATGAGATGGAATTGGCGAAGGGAGGAGCCGTTGTTGCTGCTGCTTGGCTGCACCTTGGGCGGCGATGCCGTGGGCGCGCGGCGAGGGACGCTGCCAAGTCTTTAGCGCTTCGCGCATCCCCACCAACCCATCTATGAAGGATGCAAACACGAACTGCCTTGATCAAGGACGTGCAAGAGCTCGGTGCCGTCATTGGGAGGCGCCGTGGCCACTTGGAGCTGCCTTGGGGCGGTCTTGGGGCCTCCTGGAGGCATGTTGGGAGCCCTCTTGAGCCATCGTGGATGTCTCGTGTGACCCTAACTAGAGGGAGCCACTGGGGCCCTCATGCAACCCATCGTGGAGGACATGGGGTACTACCAAACATTCTAATGACGGAACGACGTTGCTGATGTGGTCGCAGAAATCGGCCGTGACAAGTTACGTCTGGATGTGAACCGTTACGGCTGATCTGCGAAACGTGCAAGAGGTGTGGCGAAGCGGGCGCGGTCACCCATGCGAGCCCTGCCACTGGGGCCGTAGGTTGAGCTACCCATGGGGTCACGAAACGTGTGAGGGGTGCGCCGAAATGGGCGCGGCTGATTCTTGTCACTGAAGCCTTCGATGGGAACTCCGTATGGAACCACGAAACGTGTGAAAGGTGTGCGGAAATGGCGCGGCCACGCATGCGATTCCTGCAGCTGGGGCCTTCCGTGAATCTCCCCATGGGGCCACGAAACGTGTGAGGGGTGCGCCGAAATGGTGCGGACCAAATATGCGAATGCAGCCACCCGGGACTTCGGTGGAGCTCTCTATGGGGTCACGAGGCGTGTGAGAGGTGCGCCGGAATTGCGTGGACCAGGTATGCGAAAGCATCCACTTGGGCCTTAGGTGGAGATCTCTATGGGGCCATGAAACATGTGAGAGGTGCGCCGAAATGGTGTGGGCCAGGTATGCGGACGCAACCACTGGGGCCTCCGACAGAGCTCCCTGTGGCCACGAAGAGTGTGAGGGGTGCGCTGGAATGGTGTGGACCAGGTATGCGAACGCAGCCACTGGGACTCTAGGTGGAGCCCCCTAAAAAGACACCAAACATGTGAGGGGGGGGGTTCGACGACGGGCGCGGTCATTCACGCGATTCCTGCAACTGGGGCCTCCGGTGAATCCCAGTGAACGCATGCACTGGGGCCTTCGGTGGGGCTCCTAATGAGGCCACGAAACGTGTGAGGGGTACGCCGGAACGGCGTGGGCCAGGTATGCCGACGCAGCCACTGGGGCCTCTGCTGGAGCTCCCCATGGGGCCACGTGCGCCGGGACGGTGTGGACCAAATCTGCGGACGCAGCTACTGGGGCCTTCGGTTGGGGTCCGCATGGGGCCACGAAGCGCGTGAGGGGTGTCCCAGTGGTGTGGACCAGGTATCCGAACGCAGCCACCCGGGCCTTCGGAAGATCTTTTCTGTAACTATGAAGCGTGTGAGGGCCGTGTATGGGAGGAGGGAGGAGGGATGAGGGGGGAGGAGGGTGGGGGGGAGAGAACGCTGGGCAATGCGTATTCAAAGCGAGGACCCAACTTAACTCATGATGTTTCGGGAAGGAGGGGGTCTTAATTACCCCCAGGAAGTCCCAAACAAACAAACGAACGTGCCATACGCCTGGGCGCTCGGGCAGAAGGCAACGCACGCCGCCGCACGCCGACTGCCGCTTTGCAGGAATGGCGGCCGACCAACAATCAATATTGAATTACGTGTAGTGCGGCAGACGGAAAAAATCATATGACACACAATTCGCCACAATATTTCGCCAAACCGATGGACTCGCGGACGTTTTGCATTGCGGCCCCCTTGGGGGCGAAATGCTGGTCAATCGTACTCATATGGCACTTGGCCCATTCCTTTCTCGACCGCCGTACAAACCAAGAGTCAACGTCTGTAGCTGGTCGTAAGCGCCGTCGTGAAGCGTCAGGCGCACCACTAACTTGTAATTACTCGGTATACCTACTTTCCCTGACCTCAACAACTGATATCCAGGAAGCTGGGCCGTGTAGGGTTCTGGCTTTGCTCTCGCCAACACTTCTCCATTCGAAATTATGGGAAACGTGCGCAGACGGAATGTGCACGATGCCGCGGACGCACATGGATCGGACACCATCTAGTTGTCGGCCCTTTGCTCGTGGCCAGAACATGGGATGCTTGAAGTCCGCGCGAAGTCCTAAGCGTTGTGCGTTTCCACGCGCGCCAATTTCTGCAACGTTCACCCAACGCTGCACCCGTTTGTCTTGCTGAATCCCACCAGCCCTCGGGGCGTCGGTGGTTTAGGGCGTTTCCTCTTCCACCCCTCCTTCTTCCCCTTCGGGGAGGGGTGTACCATCCCCCATACCCCCTCCCCTGGACCTGGACGAGGGGTTTCGCGAGGTGTCAGGGCGTCCAAAACGGCCTCGGCGAAGAAGCCAAAATCATTGGTGTTAGTTGGGTTTGGGCCCCATTTTGGCCTCCTGGGGGGGGGCCTAATTAAAGCTCCCCTCTTGCTTGATCGATCTCCTCCAAGATGGCCCCGAGAAGCGCCCAGGAGGCCCCAAGAGGTCCCAAGATGGCCCCAAGATGGCCCCAAGAGGCCCCCAAGAGGCCCCCAGGAGGCCCCCCGAAGGATCCCAAGCGGCTCCAAGAGGCCCCCACCCGAGGCACCCAAAGCGCCGAAGAGCCCCACACGACCGCCAAGAGACCCCCAAGGCGTCCCAAGAGGCCACGAATAATCGCCCAAGAGATACCCCAAGAGGCTCCGAGACGCATCCAAGAGACATCTGGCCCTTGTGCTTGCCCTCCTCCTCCTCCTGTTCCTCCTTCCTCCTCCTACTCCGTTTCTTCCTCCTCCTTCTCCTCCTCCGCTTCCTCCTTATCCTATTCATCCTCCTTCTTCCCACTCCCTCATCCATCCATCCATCCATCCACCCCTCCTTCTCCTCCTCACTCCTTTGCACGGTTCGGCCGTCCCCCTCTTTGCTGCCGCACTTCCCTGATCACCTCAACTCGCCTGGACATCGTTTCTGGATGGGCTGGTGGGGATACTTTTTCCTCGCGGGCGCAAGCGAAAACGCAAGCGCCGTGGTGAAAGGTCCGGGCCGCGGGCCGATCTAATTACACAGCTGGTGGGGATACTTTTTTGTCAGCGGCTCCGAGGCGGCGGACACGGAGCGGAAGGCGTCGACTGGGCCAGCAGGCGAGGCTAATTACAACAACATGCAACACACCTGCAGTAAAAACATGCAATGAATGGCTGGTGGGGGATACGCGAAGCGTCTAGAATTCCCTTAACACCCAGACTGAACTCGATAAGGTTGCTCCAAGACGCACGAATGATTCGTTTGCTGGAATTGGCTCGCCCTGTGGCGTCTTGAGATTCATGTTAGCTCGGACAGATATGCGTTGAAGCTGAAACCAATTTAATTCGAAGACGTTCTGGCCCCTTGCACTTGGAAGTTGCCCACGAGAGATTGCACATGAACGTGGTCACGCCCTACGAGCAGCGTGTCGTCCACATATGGCCCATGTCTCTGCTTGCGAAGCTTTTCGTGCGCTGGGATCTGCGCGACGCTCGGTCTCGAACAACTTTCGTCATTACCATTATAAACACAAGCGGCGAAAACGGATTGTCTCGGGATGTTCCAAACCTGACCGCACAAGAACAGGAAGCGCCGTTTTTGCTCGTAGCAGTGTTTGTCGTCAAAGCTCTGGACGCCAGCGTTCGTACTGGGAGCTCTGGCGTTCGAAGCTGCCCACGTCATCGTTCGTAATGGAACCTTGGGATGTCGTGGTCGGTCTCTCGTAGGCCTCTTAGAAGCAATTCTGAAGCCTCTTGGGGGCCGTTTTTTCGGGCCGTCTTGGGGGCATCGTGGGGGCCTTTTTGGGGCCTCTTGGGGGCCTCTTGGAGCGTCTTGGGGGGCTCCCGGGGGCCTCCTGGACCCTCCGGGGGGGCACTTGGGGCCGAGGACCCGAAAAGTCCGTTCGTGTACCTCGTCTGGGCCCCCTCTAGGAGCCATATTGACGGCCTCTTGGGCCGCCGCGAAGCCTCGTGGGGCCGTCTTGGGGCCGCCTTGGGGCCTTCTGGTGCCTTCTTGGGGCCGTCTTGGGGGCCTCTTGGGCCGTCTTGAGGCGATCTTGGGGGCCTCTTGGGCCGTCTTGGGGCGATCTTGGGGGCCTCTTGGGCAATCTTGGAGCGTCGGGAAACGGAAAAGGCGAGAACCCCAAAAACCTTCAAAAACTATTCAAAAATCATAGGTGTGTGCCTCTTTGGCGCTCTTGTGAGGCCTCTTCGAAGCCTCTTGCGGCGTCTTGGAGGCCTGTTGAGGGCCTCCTGGGCCGTCTTGGAGCTCTCTTGGACCGTCTGGAAGCCATCTTAGGGCATCTTGGAACGCTCTAGGGCGGTCTTGGAGCGCTCTTGGGCCGTCTTGGAGCCCTGGTGGCCGTCTTGGGCGCGTCTTGGTCAGATTTTTTGAGCGGAGTGACAATTTTTCCGCAATTTTCCGGAACCTGACCGGACAAGAACGGGAAACGCAGTTTTTTATCCACCACGTGCGTCGGAGACCG